CCCCCATTTCTGAAGAAGCATCTAGGCCCGAAACGTCAGCCTTCCTGCTCCTCTGATGCTACTTGGCCTGCTGTATTCATCCAGCTCTACACCTTGTTATCTCAGATTCTCCAGCATCTGCAGTTCCTACTATCTCTGTTACTGCATTGGTGAGATTGCACCAAGAGTGCTGTATACACATTAGTCCCTTTGGGAGAGGCATTAGCCTAGTGGTATTATGGCTGAACTACCAATCCAGAGACTCATAAACTAAACTCTTTCACTGAGGTAACGTTCCTATAAATGTATTCTAACCAATCTATTTTTCTCAGACAGACGAGACTTGTTACAGACTCCAGCCATTCTACTTCTAATAGCCCAAAAACTTTTTAACTAATTTCTCTACATTTTGTTCAGCCAGTTTTTTATTTTCTTCTTTCAGCTGAATCCTCTCCTTAACCTCCTCAGTGAGCCATGGTTGGTTTACCCCTCTTTAGAACTTTTCCTCCTTACTGCGATGTATTTTGGCCTGACAACCCACCTTATTTTGGTGAGCTCGTCCAGCCTACACAACCCTCCCTGTCGCTGTAATGTCGTCCAGTCACTAGACCTCACTCTGACCCTGACAGCCCTCCTCATCTCTGTAACGTCCACCAACCCCGAAAATAAAACCTCATTAACAAATTACAAACTGCAGTTGCTGGAAATCCGAAGCAAAAACAGAAATTGCTGGAGAAACTCAACAGGTCTGGTAGCATCCGCGGAAAGAAAACAGAGTTAATGCTTTAGGTCTAGTGACCCTTCTTTAGAACACTCACCCCCAAAATGTTAACTTTGTTTTCTCTCCGCAGATGCTGCAAGACCTGCTGAGTTTCTCCAGCAATTTGTTTTTGACCTGAAAAATCTAAAGTCTGCAATCTCCTCCAGACCCTACAATTCTCCCTAACTCCATAACTTCCTTGAGCCCCTACAATCCTTACTCTGTAAATCCCTTCAGCCCGTATTCCAGTCCTCTCTGTGCAGCCTTCTGCAATCTTCTCTATCTCTGTAATGTCCAGCCCCTACAATCCTCCCAATTCTGGAACAAGAACAGGAGTTGCTGGAAAAGCTCAGCAGGTCTGGCAGAATCGGTGAAGAAAAAGTCTGAGTTAACATTTTAGGCCTGGTGACCCTTCCTCAGAACATCCCATTTCTGTAATTTCCAAAAGTCCATCCCTCTACTTCTCCAACCTGGTCACCAGCCCTGGCCACCATCCTGGAGCCCAAGGTGAGGTTACAGCCTCCACCCTCCCCATCTATCTTTCAGCATTTTCATCCAGTTGACAAGGTGAGGATTAATCAAGGAGATAGGCTCAGTTAGATCATTTGTGATGGTACTGTGCCTTTAAGAGAGATGTGTTCTGTCCTGTTTTTATTGCAGAGGGGGTGTTGTCACAGTGGTACTGAGATGTCTCCCGAAGATGGGACAATTGGTAAACAGCTTTTGAGTTCTCCCTGGATTTTTATGAGAGAAAAGAATCTTGAGTGGGCAGGGTAAGGACTCACAAAACCTGTGAAGACTTTTAGTTTTGTTTTCAGTGAGTGAGAAGTTTTCTGCTGGTTGCTGAGCTGAAAGCTTGAGTTCTGAGCTGCTAGAGTGAAGCCTTAGACAGCGACGCATCCTCTTCAAAATCCAAAAGGGGCAGATTGTTCCTTTCTTCAGGACTGGAGAGAGACAGCACACGAGAATTGTAACTGTTTTTGAACTGTATATTTTGATGTTATTTGAACATTTGATGATTAGTGATTAAATTACACATTAGTAGTTAAATAACACGTTAAGTATTTCCATAGTGTTATCGTTGTACCAACTTTTTAGCTGTGTTGTAAGAAGAAAGTGCATTTTGATTAAAGCCGAGTGGTGGGCCAATTGAATCACATCTGGAACACAGCACTTTACACTTGCCTTTAAATAAAAGTTAAGGTTTAGTCTGTCTCCTTACAATACTTGAGCGGGGGTGAGGATGTCTGGTATGGTCTATATCAGAACCTGGGAAAAACCTTCTGAGGCACAGGAATTGGGGTAAGGGAGAGGGGCAATTGGAATAGGAGAACACCAATGCAGGGAAGAGAAATGAACTCGGCAGCACTTATACACTTAATGATAGGGTCCTGGGGAGTGTTGCCAACAAAGAGATGTTGGGGAACAGGTACATAGTTCCTTGAAAGTGGAGTCGCAGGTAGACAGGGCAGTGAAGAAGGTGTTTGGTACGCTTACCTCTATTGGTCAGTACATTGAGGATAGGAATTGGGAGGGTCATGTTGCAACTGTACAGGCCATTGGTTAGGCCACTTTTGGAATACTGCATGCAATTCTGGTCTCCCTGTCATTGGAAAGATGTTGTGAAATGTGAAAGGGTGCAAAAGAGATTTCCAAGGATGTTGCCAGGGTTGGAGGGTTTGAGCTACAGGGAGAGGCCGAATACGCTGGGGCTATTTTCCCTGGAACGTCTAGGCTGAGGGGTGACCTTATACAGGTTTATAAAATGATGAGGGGCATGGATAGGGTGAATAGCCAAGGTCTTTTTCCAAGGGAAGGGGACTCCAAAACTAGAGGGGCATAGGTTTGAGGTGGAAGGGGAGCGATTTAAAAGGGACAACTTTTTCACGCGGAGGGTGATATGTGTATGGAATAAACTGCCAGAGGAAGTGGTGAAGGCTGGTACAATCATTTAAAAGGCATCTGGATGGGTATATGAATAGGAAGGGTTTAGCAGGATAGGGGCCAAATGCTGGTAAATGGGACTAAACCAATTTAAGATATCTGGTTGGCACAGACGAATTTGACCAAAGAATCTGTTTCCATGCTGTACAACTCTATGAGCCATACAGCCCTAGTTTACTTGAAATGATAACATCGCATACAAAGGTTCCCTGAAGTTTGTGTCAGTTTAAAGAAAAACTATTCACTGAACTGTACATGCTAGTGTCCTGACACTAGAGGGAATAACTTTTAATATAATGCCAAGGTGTATATACATAAAATATAATATTACACATATACTCATACATTGCAGAGACAAGCAATGCCTGGAATAAGGCTGACAGACATTATCGAGAACCAAAAATGTTTAACAGTTCCTGCCTGGACAGAACCAAAACCATTTAAACAGTGATCCATCAATAATCCATAGTCTCAGTCATTTAACAAAAGGCAAGAACTCGGTCCATAATTAATTGTTTTCTGGGATTGTTGCGCAGATGGCTTTTTAATTCCTCGGTTTATCACCTCCCCCTCCATGACATTAGATACAAAGTAAAGCTTTCTCCACTCTGTCCCCATTGCATACTCTCAGGACAGGGAAAGCATAGGGTTAGTTACAGAGTAAAGCCCTCTGTACTCTTTTTAAACTGTAAGTAAAACTGAAAGTAAATCTTCCTCAACTCTTTTAAGCTGAAAATAAAATTCCTGGACGCCGTCGCGATCAAGCACTCCCAGGACAAGTACATCATGGGGTTAGGTACAGAGTAAAGCTGCCTCTACATTGAACCCATTACATAGATACAGCACAAGGTTATATGCAGAGTAATGGGGAGATAGTTCAGCCATGCATGAGTATCCCAGGAATAAGATTTGCAGAGCTTGAGAACAACCAGGGACAGAGAGACACCAAGACAGACACTGGAGATGGAGATGTGGGCTGGTTAACCAACACCCTCTCCTTTGGACCCAGGTTTACTGCGAGGTATAAGGTGCGAGTGTGTGGGGGAGCAGGGAAATGTACAAGATGCTGGATTATTGGCAGTGAGTCTGAGAGAGCAAAGCAATGACACCCAGCTTTCTTCCTGATTCGCTGTCTGCAATGTCTCCTCCTGGCGTTTAGGAACCAGCCTCTTGCTCTTGTCCCAGAGCTTCCAACAGGATCCCCATAGGTGTCCTCTTCAACCCGATGCTCTCGATCTTGTTCTCGATTTTGTTCTTCAGATTCCGGAGGCGCAGGGAAGCATGGATTATAATTACTGGAGAGGGAGCAAAATGGGAGTGAGTTAAGAGTTCACAGCCAGATGGTGCCAAAATTCAGAGACATACAATGCGTCGACTCCCGCTCTCTCTGTCACGCACAAACGTGTCGACTCACTCTCTCACGCATAGACGTGTTGACTCGCTTTCTCTCGCACAAACGTGTCGACTCGCTCTCTCTCTCACGCACAAACGTGTCGACTCGCTCTCTCTCGCGCAAACGTGTCGACTCGCGCTCTCTCGCGCAAACGTGTCGACTCGCGCTCTCTCGCGCAAACGTGTCGACTCGCGCTCTCTCTCGCGCAAACGTGTCGACTCGCTCTCATGCACTCACGTGTCCACTCGCACTCTCTCTCTCGCGCAAACGTGTCGACTCGCTCTCTCTCACGCGCAACGTGTCGACTCGCTCTCTCTCACGCAAACGTGTCGACTCGCTCGCTCGCTCTCTCTCTCGCGCAAACGTGTCGACTCGCTCTCTCTCACGCGCAAACGTATCGACTCGCTCTCTCTCTCACGCGCAAACGGGTCGACTCGCGCACTCTCTCATGTACAAATATGTCGACTCGCGCGCTCTCTCTCATGTACAAATATGTCGACTCGCGCGCTCTCTCTCATACATAAATGTGTTGACCCAGTCTGTCTCTTGTACAGGTATGTACATTCACTGACCCTCTCACATGGACGCACAGATCTTTCACACCTCTATTGCAACCCGTCTCAGTGTTCTCTGCTGTAAGCTTGAGAGTAGAGAGGAGATTCGAAATGAACAGCATTGGGATAGGGAGCAAATGAGAAATGCGCTGGAACAGAGGAAAGGGAGAGGTGGTTGGCTCGGGAAAGGCAGGGAGAAAAAAAAAGAGAAGACAGGAAGATGGGAGCGGAGGAGCAGAGTTAAAGGGAGAGAGGAAAGAGGTAGCCCTAGGTGAGATGCATGTTCAGAGAACCAGCACAGGCACACTATGCTGAATGGCCTGTGCTGTAACATATGCGTGACTGATTCCATGATAATGTCAGGGTGACAGGCAGACGTTACGAGGATGGAGAGATCTTGAGGAGATGCGCAGGTCACAGTGGGAGGAAGAACAGGAGAAGAAACCAAAGGAAAATTCCTCACAGGGAGGGTGCAGTGACTGACCCACATGCAACTGAGGGGAGGGAGTGGGGGGTGGGCTGGGCAGGGAAGTGGGAGACAGACAAGGGCATAAAGCAACAGACTAAAAGGTACATGAGGAGATTGGGGAACGGGAGGTGAAGGGATAACAAGCAGCAGAGAGGTGAGGGAAGTGGTGTATTGGAGGTAACAGGGGCAAAGTGAGGAAGAGCGAGGGAAACACTGTGCAAATTTCCAGAAAGCAAGTGTCAAGGCTCCACATTAAAGGTTCCTGTGCAGAATAAAAGCTGATGGTGTCAGCGGCTGGTAACTTGGATAGATGACTGCCTGGCAAACATGAAACAGACAGCAGGATGGCAACAGGTGATGAGTCGTAACGGCTGGTGCTGGGATCTCAACTATTCACAATTCATAACGACGACTTGTGGAACGGTGGCTCAGGGGTTAGCGCTACTGCCTCAAAATGCCAGGGACCCGGGTTTGATTCCAGCTTCGGGCAAACTGTCTGTGTGGGAGTTTGGACATTCTCCCCCCGCATCTGCGTGGGATTCCTCCCACAGTCCAAAGATGTGCGGGTTAGGGTGGCTTGGCCATGCTAAATTGTCCACAGTGTTCCAGGGATGTGTAGGTTAGGTGGAGTAGCCATGGGGAATGCAGGGTTACAGGGATAGGGTAGGGGATTGGTGGCAGGTGGAATGCTCTTTGGATGGTCAAGGGTGGACTTGATGAGCCGAATGGTCTGCTCCTGCGCTGGAGGGATCCTATGATCTCAATGAAGGTACAGAGGCTAAATCTGTTGATGAGACAGGAAGGGGGGAATACAAGTCAGAGACAGAACAAACAGTGATGCACTGGCAAGCCAGGGGAACAGGCTAGGTGGAGGTCAGAAGGGTCCGGAGTGATGTTGCGGTGAGCAGACACTCACTGAGCATGGGGAAGGTGATTCCGAAGAGAAAGACAGCGACGCCCCCAACCACAGACAGGAGGCAGTAACTGGCCAGCAGCACGGCTAAGAGACACAGGGTCGGGTGGTTCCTGCGTAGTCTCCGGATTGCTGCCTTGTTCTCTGCCGACCACACAAAGCCCAGGAAAAGCAGCGTGACCACCAACCCTCCCAGTAGCGTCTTCAGCGGCTCGATGTACCTACGACAGGAGAGGCAGTGGTTCAGGCGAGTCGACAGGTCTCACTCTAGCTCTCTACTGTGACATACCAGATCCGGCACCACCTGCTGCTTGGCCAGCAGTTGCAAGGTGGTGCCCCCAAGCTGTTGGAGCTTGCAGCTGCACGGTGACTGTTCACATAGCGGCTAAAAAACAACTACGGTCAACTTGGCAAATCATAGTACACAAAGTGGGGCTGCACATTGGTTAGGCCATTTGCGGAATACTGAATTCAATCCTGATTTCCCTGCATTCGGAAAGATGTTGTCAAACTTGAAAGGGTTCAGAAAAGATTTACAAGGATGTTGCCGGGGTTGGGTTTGAGCTATAGGGAGAGGCCAAATAAAAGCTGGGGCTTTTTTCCCCCCCTGGAGCGTTGGAGGCTGAGGGGCGACCTTATAGAGGTTTGTAAGATCATGAGGGGCATGGATAAATAAATGTGGAGCTTGAAAAGCACAGCATGGGTCAGACAGCATCGGAGGAGCAGGGAAGTCAATGTTTTGGGCCAAAACCCTTCATCTGGACCGACTGACAAAGTTTGACGGGTGACAGTGCAGAGACAGCTTTACTCTGTATCAAACCCTATGCTGTCCCTGTCCTGGGAGTGTTTGAAGGGGGACAGTGTAGAGGGAGCTTTACACTGCATCTAACCGTGCTGCCCTTGGTGTGTTTGATGGGGGACAGTGTAGAGTCAGAGATAACACAGTGTGGAGCAGGATGAACACAGCAGGCCAGGCAGTATCAGAGGAGCAGGAAAGCTGACGTTTCGGGTCAGGACTCCTGTGAAAGGTCCCAACCTGAAACGCCAGCTTTCCTGCTCCTCTAATGCTGCCTGGCCTGCTGTGTCCTTCCAGCCTCACACTGTGTTATCTCTGACTCCAGCATCTGCAGTTCTTACTATCTGAGTGTAGAGGGAGCTTTACTCTGTACCTAACCCCGGTCTGTCCCTGTCCTGGGAGTGTTTGATTGGGGGGGATAGTGTAGAGGGAGCTTTACTCGGTATCTAACCCCGTGCTGTCCCTGTCCTGGGAATATTTGATGGGGGACAGTGTAGAGAGAGCCTTACTCTATATCTAACCCCGTGCTGTCCCTATCCCTGGGTGTGTTTGATGGGGGGGACAGTGTAGAGGAAGCTTTACTCTGTATCTAACACGGTGCTGTCCTTGGGTGTGTTTGATGGGGGGGACAATGTAGAGGGAGTTTTACTCTGTATCTAACACGGTGCTGTCCCTGTCCTGGACGCCTTTAAATGAGGACAGTATCAAGGGAGACTTACTTCCAAAAGAGTGGAAAAGAATATGTGAAGGCGAAAACAAAAGTCCCGCCCTCCTTACCCCATCCCTTTAATGCCAGACTATCTGACCACGTGGCTGTGCTGCCTAGGTGACAGCCGCCTTAGCCAATCGGCTCAGCAGATGACCCGGGGGCGTCACTCACGTCTATTGGAGAATTCACTGCGAGCCCGCCCGCTATCACCCTGATTGGCACGGCGCTAAAACAATCGAAGACTAGGCAGCGTGTGAGTGACAAGGGGCTCAGCCAAAGGACAGCAAGCCCGCACTGACGCCGACTGTGATTGAACCGAAGTCCTGCTTGACATGTGTGCCAGCCAACTGGCCCGCACCGCTGCCCTGATTGATCACGCTACCCACCAATGGGGGAGAAGTGTGGGTGTGACTAGTAGGCAGGTACCCACCCGACCAGCAGGAGAATGGCGGCGACGGTTGCCAGATAATTGGTCTGGTAGTAGAGCAGGTTATTGATCACCCGGTTGTTCCAGCGCAGCGGGTCCTTCAAGTCCGGCAGGCTGAAGCGGGCCGAGCTACAGACAAAGTCGTCCAGCGTGCGGAGCGGCGGCAGCTGCACCTCGGAGCTGCGGGCCATGGCGGGAGGTACTGTGGGGCGGGGAGGTGGAAGAGTGGACACCGCGTCTGTCCACAACCCCGCCTGACAACTCCCGTCACTGCGCCTGCGTGGCCGCCGGCCCCGATTGGGAGTGTCGCGGCAACGCGCACGTGCTTGCCCGACCCTCCACCCCCTTTTGCCGTCATTGCGCCTGCGTAGCCGGTGGACCCTGCAGTCGGACCGCGGCCGTACGCATGTGCCCACCCGGCTCTTCACCACACTTCCGTCAGTACGCCTGCGTGTCAGCCGGCCCCCGCGGGAGGCTCGTGGCAGCGCACATGCGCACGCCCGGCCATTCGCCGCCCTCGCCGTCACTGAGTCAAGCGTACGATTACGTCAAAAGTAGATTACGTCATACGTAAATGACATCCAATATAAATTCCTGCACTTGCTGCGTGCCTGAGACAAAAAGGTGAAGTGCTGGGAGCGTGCAGCAGCATTTGGAAGGAGGCAGGCTGATTTTTGACCCACACTGCGAAGAATATTCTCTAACTGTGGGTCTGAATTTTGAAATTGTGAGCTAGGAGTGAGATGAGGACGAACTTTTTCACTCTGCAAGTTGTTAGGCTTTGGAATCAGCTGCCTGAGACTGTGGTGGAGGTGTTGTGTGCGCGGTTTTGAAAGGGATATACATCTGAAGGATACGAGTTTGGAGGAAACTGGACTTGTTGGGCCGAAGGGCCTGTTTGCGCACGGTTCTATGTAGAGGTTCTACGATATCTCTATGAAAACACACGGAGGATGGGACTGGCTGGGTGGCCGTTACGGGGCTCGATGGACCGAGCGGCCACCTCCTGCACTGTCACATTCTATGAGCGTGAAATCGCGGCCAGGTTACTGCACAAGAGGAGGTTGCTGTTGCCACAAACCCGGAGACTTCAGTGAGAGAATCCCAGGTTACGAGGGTAAAGGCAGGAGATTGGAGTTCAGGATTAGCAGCCCAGCTGCAATCTCATTGAATGGCGGAGAAGACCTCGATGGGCTGAATGGCCCTCCTTTGTTTTATGATGCCATGCTGTGCCCACTGTCACCTGTCGCATTTTACCCATTCCCCTGGCAAATCTGTATCTACCAGTCATCTCTGCACGCCTCACCCCCCCCCCCCCCCCCCCCACCACTGACTTTTTGGGGAGTAACTGCTGAGTCCTCGCCTACTCCTTTGTTTCTTCGGTAGCGGGCTGGGACGGGTCAGGGGAGGGGAGTGGTTGCCAGGAGGTGTAAAAGAACAAAAGGCAAAGCCTTTGATAGGGCAGAAGAGATTAAACAGCAGGAAGACTCGCATGCACTCCCAAATCCCTCTGTGCTGCTGCTTTCTGTGGCCGTAGATTCCCTGCAGTGTGGAAATGGGCCGTTTGGCCCATCGATTCCACGCCGACCCTCTGAACAATGTCCCATCCAGACCAAACCCCCCCTCCATGACCCAGCATTTCTCATGCCATAATCCACCCAGCCTGCACGTCCTTGTGCTCTACGGGGTAATTTAGCATTGGCCAATCCACCCTAACCTACACATCTTTGATCTGCGGGAGGAAACCCACACGGACACGTGGGGGAACATGCAAACTCCATACAGACAGCCGTCTGAGGCTGGGATCGAACTCGGGTCCCTGGTGCTGTGAGCCAGCAGCACTGACCACTATGAAACCACTCAGAAGTCTTTGTTTTCGGACGATGGTTTCATCAATGTATTCATAATTCTAGAATTATTTTTATTGAATTCAAATTCCATCACTTGCTGTGACAGGACTGGAACCCAGGTCCCCAGAACATTACCTGGGTGTCTGGATTAATTCTATGGCAATGATACCACAAGGCCATTGCTGCCCCTTGAGGTGGTTTTAGGTGGTATGGGGAAGTGGGAGTAGAATGAGTTGGCTTAAAGTGGGTATTGGGTCTTTCTTCATTTAAGTGATAATCAGCTCCTCAATGCTTCCTGCCTGAAATTCCATCTGAGCAGCTATTGTTCGGCAATTTAATGACATGCGAGCATCATTAGAAAAAAGGGAACGAGTCAAGGCGAATCTGAAATTGTGAGCTTGGAGAGTGTGGAAAGCTGTGAAGTGCCAAATTGTGACGCCAGGTGAAGTTCCTGGTACACTGCAGCTAGCTGAGGACAATGGGGTGAGCAGGGTAGTGAGATGCAGAATTGAAATGAGCTGATTGGAAGTTGGGTGTCGTGCTTGTGAACTGAAGAAAGACATTCCCCTTGAAGCTTGTCCAATCTGGGCCCACTCTATACATTGTACAGACTGCACAGTTCTGAAGTGGCAGTATCGCAGAATGGTTACAACACAGAATGAGGCCATTCAGCTCATTATGGCTGTGCTGACTGTCTAAATAAATAATTGACCTAGTGCTGTTTGCCAATGTCCCAACATGCTTGGAATACTGCGCAAATTCTCAAGTCTCACTCTTCCCAGGGGGGGCATTGCAAATGTTTAAAGATTTAGTCTTTGATTTGATTTATTGTTGTCATACGTACCTAACTACAGTGAGAAGAGATAATAAGAACTGCAGATGCTGTAGTCAGGGATAACACAGTGTGGAGCTGGAGGACCACAGCAAACCTGGCAGCATCAGAGGAGCAGGATAGTTTCAAAAATATCCCCACCTCTGCCTCATTTCATGACCAACCCTCCCTCTCATCCCTGCCTCCTTGACCTGACACAACCTGTCCACCTTCACTCCCACTTATCCGCCCCTCCCACCTCACTGTCCAATCCCCACCATTGCCTACTTGAACCCACATATCACCATCCCACCTACCTTCCCCAGCGTCACGCCCCCCCCCCCCCCCCCCCCCCCCCCCCCCCCCTTCCCCCCTCAACCCCTCAATCCCCCCCCCCCCTCTCTTCCCCCTCGCCCCCCCCCCCCCCCCCCCCTTTATTTCTCAACTTGTTTCCGCCTCCCCCATTTCTGAAGAAGGATCGCGACCCGAAACTTTCCTGCTCCTCTGATGCTGCCTGGCCTGTTGTGTTCCTCTAACTGCAGTGGGAAGTTTTGTTTTGCTGTGTGGTACAGGCAGATCATAACCTACAAGGACATACAGAGCAAGGCATACAAAGTTATGGTTGCACAGGGGGTGTTCAAACGCAAGTTTAGCATTAGATTTGAAATTTGAGCGATCCGTTAGCAGTCTCACAACAATGGGGAAGAAGCTATTCTTGAGCTTACTTCAAGACCCCCCCCCCCCAAATTTACCTGGTTGATGGACTCGGGTTAACAAAGAAAGCACCAGCTTTAGGGGAGGAGGTGGCGTAGTGGTAATGTCACTGGACTAGTTAATCCACAACCCCAGGTGGAAGTTCTGGGGACGTGAGTTCAAATGACACCATAGCAGATAGTGAAAGCTGAATTCACTAAAAAATCTGGAATCTAAAGCTTGTCTAATGGTGAACATTGTCATAAAAACCCATGTGGTTCACTAATGTAGTTTAGGGAAGCAAATCTGCCAAACTTAATTGATGTGCCCTACATGTGACTCCAGACCCACAGCAATGTGGTTTGACTGTTAGCTGCCCCCTGGGCTATTAGAGATGGGTAATAAGTGTGAGGTAATAATGCTGGCCAGCTTTCTTCTTTAAATATACTTGACATGAACTACAAAATAAACAGATTTATCAACCTATAACTGATTAGCTTAAGGTTTATCCACTTCGTAAACCTATAAATACACGTGCAGACCAACCTGTATGTTTTGAGTGGAGGGAAAAGTACTGGGGAAATGCAGTTTGATAGCACCAGGATTCGATGAGGTAGCCCCTTTGCTTACTCCAAGTGTGACTTGAGAATTTGCACAGTATTCCAAGACCTCTGATCTTCGAATTCAAGTTCTGTGCTGAAGACACAGGGCGTTAAACACATTGGTTGTTCGAGCTTTCAGTTAATGGTTAGAGCACACACCCAATGGTGGGAGGAAGCTTTCAGTTTTTGGCTGCTTCATCACAATGAGAGCTACTGTTTTCGGCTGTCTGGAATCCTCTGTATTGTTCCCACACCTGTCTAGAAGCCCATCAGACAGAGGTTATACTGATAATCCCTGGCACACACAGAATTGAAAATTCAATCAATAAACTCTCTCCTGGCAAAGTTTGCTCTGAATACACACCCCAAATAGTGCCGTTGAGTCTCAAACCTCTTTCTGCTCACCCCATCACTGAAACAAAGCAACAGTGTAAACATTACATGAGTTGTAGGGTAATGCAGCGTGGAATCAGACCCTTCAGCCCAACCAGTCCATGCCCACCATAGCCCCAAACTAAACTAGTTCCACCGTTTGCCCTTGGCCCGAATCCCTCAATATTTCTCATTCATGTACTTATCCAAATGTCTTTTAAACGTTGTAACTGTATCCACAATCCACCCATATCCACCACTTCTTCTCAAAGTTCATTCCACATGTGGACCGTTCCATGTGTAAAAACAAAAATCACGCCCTCATGTCTTTTTTTAAAATCTTTCTCCTCTCACCTTAAAAATATGTCCCCTAGTCTTGAAATCTCCCACCCTCGGGAAAAGACATCTGCCTTTCACCTTGTCTAAACCCGTCATGATTTTATAAACCTCCACAAGGTCACTCCTCAACCTCCTACACTCCAGTGAAAAAGTGCCAGCCTTTCCTTACAACACAAACACCCCCACCCCAATTCCTGACAACATTCTGGTAAATCCTGGGAACGAGATCTGAACAATGTCCAGGCTTGGGCTGACAAGTGGCAAGTAACATTCACACCACGCAAATGCCAGGCTACGACCATCACCGATAAGAGACAATCTAACCACCACCCCTTGGCATTCAATGGTGTTACCATCACCAAATTCCCCCACTGTCAACATCCTGGGGGTTATCATTGACTAGAAATTCAACTGGACTCACCACATAAACACCGGCTACAAGAGCAGGCGAGAGCTAGGAATCCTGCAGCGAGTAACTCACCTCCTGATTCCCCAAAGCCTGTCCCACCATCTACAAGGCACAAGTCAGGAGTGGGATGGAATACTCCCCACTTGCCCTGGATGCACTGCAGAAATTCACCAAAGATCCTCAGACAGCACCTTCCAAACCCATGACCACTTCCAGCTAGAAGGACAAGGGCAGCAAACATATGGTGACACTATCACTTCCAAGTTCCCCTCCAAGTCACCCATCATCCTGACTTGGAAATATATCGCCATTCCTTCAGTGTGGCTGGGTCACAATCCTGGAATTCCCTCACTATTGGCATTGTGTGTCAAACCACAGCAGGAGGACTGCAACAGTTCAGGAAAGCAGCTCGTCCCCACCTTTGCAAGGGGCAACTAGGCACACATCCCACAAATGCTGGGCCCACATCCCACAAATGAATAAATGAACAAATAAGTAAAATCTTTTCTGAACGCTCCATAGTTTAATAATATCCTTCCTATAACAGGGCAGCCAGAACTGCACACAGCGCTCCAGAAGAAGCCTCACCAACGTCCTGTTCAACCTCAATATGACGTCCCCAACTTCTATTCTCAAAAAGGTCTGAGCAATGAAGTGCTAAACTTCCTACATGTGATGCAAACTTCAAAGAATTATGTACCTGAACCCCTAGGTTCTACAACACAACCCAAGGCCCTACTTTTAATTGTATAAGTTCCAAAAGCTTGTTTTAACAAGTACAGCAATCCCTTCTGATTCCTTGGTTCATTTTCTATTTCAGTCTAGACTCTGAAGTGAGGAAAAAATTAAAGATGCGTTCTTAAATGCCTCTTTGCCAATACTTTAAATACCTTTACCCTTATAAGAGATAAAACGCAAGGGATGTAACTGATCCCCATCACTGGAGAGGCAAGCATATGGGGCTCAAGGTAGATAAATCCCTTTGGCCTCAAGGCTTGTGCCCTAGGATCCTAAATAAAGGTATCTACAAAATATTGGATGCATTGCTTGGAATTTTCCAAGAGCCCTTGGATTCTGGAGAACCACCAGATGTTTGGAAAACTGTACTGGAGTCAGTTTTTAAGGAGATGCAACAGGAAAGTCAGAATCTAATCAGTCAGAGTCTCCATGGCGTCATGGAAAGGACATTGTGCCTGACTAATTTCTTAGAGCTTTTCCAATCAGAGTGGATATCGGAAAACTAGTAGATGTGTTCAGAAGGTGTTTGCTCATGAGAAGTCGCAAGAGCTCTTGGAGACAGGATATTACCACAGATAGAGAATTGGCTAATGGACAGGAGACAGCAAATGGGGATAAGGAGTTCTTTCTCAGAAAGCTGTGCTGCATGACTTTATGACTCCGAGTTCTGTCAAAGACATACCAGACTTGAAACGTTAATGCTGTTGCGCTCCCTGTAGATGCTGCCGGACCTTCTGGGTTTTCTCTGGCACCCTGTGTGTTTGTTTCAGCTTCTCAAAAGCTGCTTGTCATTCAGCTGAGCCTTGTCTCTGCAACAAATTCACTGAAGGAACAGATCACACACTGAGGACTCACTAATTCCTTCAAAAAAAAAAAAATCATGATTTCCCATTCAGTTTTAGGCACTATTAGAGCCTTCCCTTTCACTGTTCTTGGCAACACTTGTCCAACAATATGCCTTTGGTCAGTTGCCCTTGCTTTTGTGAAATCACGTTTGGTCACATTTATTACAAAGCCAGCTGCTACTGTAAATTGCTGCATAATCTTAATAAACCTCTCAGTTAGCTATCAGTTGCTTCATGAATCTTCAGAATGTAGCCAGGCCAACGGGCACTATTCGGCATTGGGATAAGCCATTTTGTGTAACAAAATCTCCTTAGACTTGGGTATTAATGGCACTTGTCCTTCAATAGGTCCACCCGTAGAGTTATACAGCACAGAAGCCCATCTGCTGTATCTACACAAGTCCCCACTTTTGAGCACTTGACCATAGCCTTGAATGTTAGGCCATTTCAAGTGCTCATCCACTATGTGCTGGAGAATGGGTTAGAATACCTATGTGGTTGCTGTTGGCCAGCATGGAAGCGATGGGCCGAAGGGACTTTTTCCCCTGTGCTGTGGACCTCTACGACTACGCCTTTGTGATCCACGTACTTTTTAAAGGTTGTGAGTTTTCAACCTGAGTTTGTCCAGCTCCAATTTGCGGAGAAACTGCTGCATTCCAGGCAGCATCCTGGTGAATCTCCTTGGCAAACCCCCTCCATGGTGATCACCTCCTTAACATAATTGGGTGCAAATTGGTTTTTCACGAATGCATTTGTAGACCTGAGGTCTATTTTTCCTCTTTATTCACTAACGTCGCTGTAGGACCAGCATTTATTGCCCATCCCCAATTGCCCAGAGGGCAGATAGGAGTCAACCACATTGCTGTGGGTCTGGAATCACATGTAGGCCAGACCAGGTAAGGATGGCAGTTTCCTTCCCTAAAGGACATGAGTTGAACCAGATGGGTTTTTCTCGGCAATGGATTCACGGTCATCATTAGATTCCAGAGATAACACAGACCTTTTCTGAAGAAGGGTCCCGATCCGAAACGTCAACTTTCCTGCTCCTCCGATGCGGCCTGGCCTGCTGTGTTCCTCCAGCTCCCTTATAAGAATGTGCAGAAAGAGACTATTTGGCCCATTGAGTCTGCACCAACCCTCCAAAGAGCATTCCACCCAGACCCCTATCCCCGCATTTACCATGGCTAATCCTACATATCCGTGGACACTACCACTACTTTGCCAGGGGTAATTTAGCCTGGCAAATCCACCCAAACTTGCACATCTTTGGACTGTGGGAGAAAACCGGAGCACCCGGAGGAAATCCACGTGGATGGTTTGGGGGAGTGGAATAGAAGAATGTGCAAAGTCCACAGATAGCCGCCCAAGACTGGAATCGAACCCGGGTCCCTGGCGCTGTGATGCAGCAGTGCTAACCACTGAGCCACCGTGCTGCCCAATGCCCCGCTAACCTGCCCTCCTTACACTGCCTGGGCCTCCGTGTGACTCCAGGTTCCTAACCGCTCTCCGAAATGGCCCTGGTGTCAAATTCAGGGCGAAGGCAATTTGGGATGGGCATTGAATGCTGGCCTTGCCCATGATGCCCACATCCCATGTAGGAATGAAGGAAACAGTGTAATACTGCAGGTTAGAAATTTATTGGTTATAAACTTAAGGAGATTCTCACAAAGGTTATCCATGAAAATGTACACTACATATACAAGAGTTTTAGTTTGAAAAAAGGTGTTACAGTGTATTCCTCTATACAATATTAATTACAGTAAGCAGTTCATTTTCTTATCCAGCTTTGAACTATGACTAAAGAACTCAACACAGACCCAGTGGAATAGCCAAGTTTAGATAACTTTTGACCTCATTGCTGGTGGCACATTTTCGGAGTGCGTGGGGTTGGGACCAGGGTGGCACAATGAGCTGGGAGGACAGCTGGGGCATTTAGTCAGGTGACGGAGGCAGGACCTGGCAGTGTTGCGGGTAGGGGGTGTGGGGAGATGGAAGAAACGGTTGGGGGGGGTGCGGGAATGTGAAAGGATGGACTCGGACCACATTCTGTGGGGTTGGAAATGACGGTGATACTTCCAGGCAAGTGCCAAGCAGACAATGCGCCTCGCCTCCTAAACATCTGCCACACTGCGATCTCTGTATCAACAATGCCCACATTGAGAAGGGGGGGGATGGGTGGGGGCGAGGTCATGGAGGGTCATGGAATGTCAGGGGAGGCAGTGTAACATTAGCCCTCGTCCCCTCCCATCCCGAGAAGATGCCAACTCACTTAGCGCCAGGTGCCCAACCCAAACACACTGTAGCAACTAGGGCAGGAGTGTCTCTCTCGCCCGCTGCCTTCCCCTTACTATCCCATCCCTGGGGCATTCCTCACCCACAGACGGCCAGGACACACTATCACACGCGGTTGCCATCCACCACCAATGCCCGCATTGGGGTGAGAGAGGACATCTCCAAGGAGAGCAACCTGTTCTTGGGACTCAGTGCCACACATGGGGAATGTGAAACGGTACAGGGATTTGGGGCTGGGTGGCGCATGCAGGAGACTGTGCCCCCAGTGAGTTGGCGTTAGAAGCGATCAGTGAAAGTGCCCTGGTGATAATCTGTGAGGGAAAATAAACAGCGCTGAGCAAGGGGGTAAAAGGTGTGGGTGTGGGTGATCACCCAGGGCTGGAGAAAGAAATAGGGCTAGAGCAGAAGGGCAGGAGTGGGGTAAGGGCACTCGGGTGGGTTAAAGGGGACAGGAGCAGGGTGGAGGGGGCACAGGTGGGGTGAGGGATGTGGAGTAGGATGAGAGAGCAGGAAAGGGGGGTGTTGAGGCAACTGGAGAGGGTAAAGGATCTGGAGGGGGTGAGGGAACCAGAGTGAGCTAAAGAAGACAGGAGTGGGGTTAAAAAAAGGAGGACAGGGAGTGGGTTAGATGGCACTGGAGAGGGGTCAGGGGTCTGGAGTGTGATAAAGGGAGCAGGAGTGGGGTAAGCGGGCAGGAGTGGGGTAATGGGTGCTTTAGTGGATTAAAGGGGGGGCAGGAATGGAGTAAGGGGAAAGGAGTGGGGTTAAGGGAACAGGAGCTTGGCAGGCTCTGGGAGCAGGTATGGAGTAAGTTGGCATGGTACATTTATAAAGGCTGCATATTTTACACCAAGGTGAAGGCCACAGTAAACAAGACACCCCTCCCTCCCACACAGAGGGTTAATTTCTCTCTCTGTGGCATGAGGATCTCTGTCTGTCAGTCCAATTCCCCTCAAACCCTCCATCACCCCTGCCCCCTGCTCACACAACAGACCAACTGGGAGCCCCATCTCACAGCAACAGCTAAGACCATGCCTGCCCTGTGCCCACAGCTTCCTCGTCCGAACCCTTGCCTCTTCCGCCGTCCAATCAGCAAGGTGGGTCATACCAGCGACCTCGTGTCGTGACCCCAACCTGTTGGGATGTCCTCGTTGATCTCCGGCAGGCCTCCCAGTTTGCTTGAGGGGTCATCAACGAATAGCTGGGTCGCACGGCACCTGAGAAAGGGCAAAGCAAGAGTCAATAGCTGGGTGGGGAAGTGTGGGCGGAGGGGGCAGATAGCTAAGCACAAATAACCCTCCCTCCCCTTCCTTTACCAACACCTATCTCTGCTGTTGTCTATTATTTCCACGGTCTCATCCTCTTAGCCAACATCCACTTTAGCTACTCCCCTCCTTTTTGTATACGAGTAGAAGATTTTACTGTCTGTTTTTATATCACTTGCTAGTTAGTTGTTATATTCCAATTCCCTCATTGTTCCTTTCCAATTAATCATCCTTTGCTGGTTTCCAGACCTTTCCCAATCTGCGCTACCATCTTCAAAACATTGTACAATTTTTTTCGTTTCAACTTAATCCATTACTGAACTTCCTCAGACTGGCAATGGATGGTATAACTTTCTCAGGATCGTTCTTTATTCGTTCATGGGATGAGGGCATTGCTGGCTAAGGCAGCATTTATTGCCCATCCCTAATTGCCCAGAGGGCAGGTAAGAGTCAACCACATTGCTGTAGGTCTGGAGTCACACGTAGGCCAGAACAGGTAAGGATGGCAGAGATAGCAGGAACTGCAGATGCTGGACAATCTGAGATAACAAGGTGTAGACCTGGATGAACACAGCAGGCCAAGCAGCATCAGAGGAGCAGGAAGGCTGACATTTCGGGCCTAGACCTTTCTTCAGAAAATCCTTCCCTAAGTGAACCAGATGGGTTTTTCCCCCAACAATCAACAATGGATTCACCGTCATCATTAGATTGTTAATTCCAGATATTTTATGGAATTAAAATTCCACCCTCTGCCATGGCAGGCTCCGAACCCGGGTCCCCAGAACATTATCTGGGTCTCTGGATTAACAGTCCAGCAGTAATACCGCTAGGCCATTGCCTTGCCTTCACTCTGGTTATCAATAGACTAGCCAGATGCAACAGCTCAGTCACTCTTGCCCGTAATTAAAGTGGCTCCACAATTATGAACGAATTAAATCTCCCCTTCGTCATGGCCAGATGCTGCAAACTCCTTCACCACTCATTTGCCACGTCTCTGGGATCCTCCTGATAAACTTCCGCTGTACCTGCTCCAGAACCGCAATCCGGAGGTGCCAAGCCCTAAATTGTTCACAATATGCCTTTTGAGGCATGTCCAGCGAATGAAGGATTATTTACAGATTAGGAATGCAATGAATTAAGACTGGGATAAGGAAAGTGAATGTTCTGCAGTCAACTGTGTGGACAAAAATAGGTGAGCAGTGACTTGGCAATTGAAATATGATGTGGGAAAATTTGAGGCCACACGTTTTGGCAGGAAGATGAGTGGGAGTGGTGGTGGTAAATGGTATTTAAATGGCAAAAGACAACAAAACAGAGAGATTTGCGAGTCCTCGTGCACAATAAAAGGTGATGCTAAATTTTGCCCCATAGCGTTCAGGGCTGTGCAGGCTAGATGGGTTAGCTGTGGGTAAACGTGGGGTTATGGGGATAGGGATAGATGCTCTTTCGAGGGTGGCCACAGACTCAATGGGCTGAATGGCCTTCGGGTGAACTGTAGGGATTCTATGATTGCCCATGGCCAATCCCTGCTATTTCCCGATTACTTGCTCTAACTTAGTACTAACCTTCAGCGATTCACGCACAAGGACACCAGGATCTGTCTGCATCTCAGAGCTCCGCAACATCTCAGCATTTCGATTTTTTTATTCTTGCTCCCACAATGGATAATTCCACACATTATCCTCCATTTACCCACTCACTGAACCTATCTAAGTCCCTTATGTCCTCTTCAGAACTCTGCATCACTGCTGCACTACTCATAGAGCTATAGAGCCATACAGCACAGAAACAGACCTTTTGGTCCAACCAGTCCATAGAATCATAGAATCCCCTACAGTGTGGAAACAGGCCCTTCAGCCCAACAAGTCCACACCGACCCATCCCCCTATAACCCACCTAATCTACACATCCCTGAACACTACGGGCAATTAGCATGGCCAATCCACCTAGCCTGTACATCTTTGGACCGTGGGAGGAAACAGGAGCACCCAGAGGAAACCCACGCAGACACGGGGAGAATGTGCAAACTCCACACAGGCAGGCGCCCGAGGGTGGAATCAAACCAGGGTCCCTGGTGCTGTGAGGCAGCAGTGCTAACTAATGAGCCACAACCATAATCCCAAACTAAACTAGCCCCACCTGCCTGCTCTTGGCCCATATCCCTCCGAGCATTTCTTATTCATGTACTTATCCACATGTCTTTTAAACATTGTAGCCATATCCACCACTTCCTCTGGAGGTTCATTCCACACGCGAACCATGCTCTGTGTTAAAAAAAATTGCTCCTCCTACGCTCCAGTGAAAAAAGTCCCAGCCTCTCCAGCCCATTTTTATAACCAAAACGCTCCATTCCATGCAAATCTCTTCTGAACCCTCTCCAACCTAATAACATCCTTCTTATAACAGGACAACCAGAACAGGACATGGTACTCCAGAAGAGGCCTCACCAACGTCCTGTACAACCCTACCATAATGTGCTAACTCCTATACTCGGAAGGTCTGAATGACGAAGGCAAGCGTGCCAAACGCCTTCTTCCCCACCCTGTCTACCTGTGACGCAAACTTCAAAGAATTATGTCCCTGAACCCCTAGGTCTCTGTGTTCTACAACACCACCCCAAGGCCCTACTTTTAATTGTATAAGTCCTGCCCTGGTTTGTTTTACCAAAGTGCAACACTTCGCAAATTAAACCAGAAGATGTGCAGGCTAGGTGGATTGGCCATGCTAAATTGCCCCTAGTGTTCAAGGGTGTGTACATTAGATGGGTTATGGGGGGAGTGCTCGGAGGGTCGGTGTGGACTTGTTGGGCCGAAGGGCCTGTTTCCACACTGTAGGGGCTCTATGATAAACTCCATCTGCCACTCCTCGGCCCATTGATGAAGGTTTTGTTTTGTAATCTCAGATGACCTTTCTCACTGTCCACTATACCACCAAACGTGGAGGATACTGGAGGATAGATTGATGAAGCTAGATCTGCACCCCCCCCACCAACCTTCACAGAGAAGAAAGCAAAGAGGAGATTTTATAAATCATGAGTGGGCCTAGATACAGTAGACAGGGAGAAACCTTTCCTGCTCATATAAGGAGAAAGAACGAGAGGGGGTTTAGATTTAAATTGAAGTACAAATGAAGCTAGGGTGATGTGAGGAAGAAGCCTTTTCATACAGAGAGTAGTTAGGGTATGGAATGCACTGGGTGTAGGTTCATTGAGGCATTCCGGAGGGCCATTGGATGGTTATTTGGATAGAGGCAGTATTCGGGAAACTTGGGAAAAGGGCGGGAGGTAATAAAACCAGAGTACGAAGTGGAACCTGTACAAGATCAATGGGCCAAATGGCCTCCCCTTCAACACAACAATTACCCTGATTCAGTACGTGACTGCTACTCAGTCACCTTGCCCCACTCCCTGTAACCCCTAGAGTTCCCAGTCTCTCTATCGACACTGTTGCACCCCTTCACCATCTTAATCCCCTCGATCGGGTCAACTCCCCCAAATATCCAATACGTCCCCAAGAGTGTTGGGACCTACATTTGGAATTTAATCATTTCTGACCCTCCTGACGTTTGGGGACAATGGAAATAAAGGAGCCATTGCAAAAGGATACAGGAAAGAGTGCAGAGAGATAAGAGCGGCACGGTGGCTCAGTGGTTAGCATTGCTGCCTCATGGTGCCAGGGACCTGGGTTCGATTCCACGCTCAGGTGACTTTTGGTCTGTATGTTCTCCCTGTGTCTGTGTGGGTTTCCTCTGAGCACTCCGGTTTCCTCCCACAGTGCAAAGATGTGTGGGTTAGGGTGAATTGGCCGTGATAAATTGTCCCGTTGTGCCCAGGGATGTGCGGGTTAGGGTGGATTGGCCGTGCTGTAGTGCCCAGGGATGTGCGGTTTAGGGTGGGATTGGCCATGCTAAATTGTCCCGTAGTGTCCAGGGATGTGCAGGTTAGGGTGGATTGGCCGTGGGGAATGCTGGGTTACAGGGATAGGAAGTGGGTCTGGGTGGGATGACCTTCGGAGGGTCAGGGTGGACTGAATGACCTACTTCCATACTGCAGTATGATGAGAGGAGATTGCAGGAGGATAACGGAGAGGTTGCGGAGAGATAAAGCCAGAGAGACAGGAGAGAGTGCAGAGGGATTGGCAGCGGACGGAAGAGATGGCAGAGAGCCAGGCCATTCAGCCCAGCAATCATGCTTTCGGCCCTTACCTGTGCCACGCAACCCAGGGCGGTCCCAGACTGGGGTGGCATGCTCCTGCTGGTTCCCGTACACGGCTGCCCGCATATACCAGGCCCGCAGCCCCTCCAGCGCCAGCGCCCTGTGGATGTCCCGGTCGACCGGCTTGCCAGACCCCCTGCGGTGGGCGCTGCCCCCCGCCTTGGAGCCCAGCACTGGCTGGCGCTCGGGATCGTGCCCACAAGCCGGCTGGGGCCCGGGGCGGCCGCTCTGTCTCCCGGAGACGCTGGCCCCCCCCAGCGAGCGGCGGCTGGGGCGGGCGAAGGCAGCGCCGTCGCTCAGTGTCTCCGAACTGCTGCTACGCTGGGAACTGTGGCGGAGAGCCGGCCGCTCGCTGCCTGCGTCACTCGATACCTCGACCCGCGAGGAAGCAGCGTCCGGGAAACGCGGTACTGAGCTCAGATACCTGCAGGGGGGAGCGACAGAGGGAAAAGGTAAAGGGTGCATTATAGATAGGACACAGAGAGAGGGAAAAACAAAACATCACAGAAAGACGTAAAGAGAGAATCTTAGGAGAGAGTGAGATAAGCAGAATTGTAGAAAGGAGAGAGAGGGACAGAGAAAGAGAGATAAGCAGAATTGTAGAAAGGAGAAGGAGATAAGCAAATTGTAGAAAGGAGAGAGAGAGAGATACAAAGAGATAAGCAGAATTGTAGAAAGGAGAGGGACAGAGAGATAAACAGAATTGTAGAAAGGAGAGAGGGACAGAGAAAGAGAGATAAGCAGAATTGT